GTTCCGAAATTGGCGCGGCGCCGCCATGCAAACCCTGCACATGGGATGGGGCGTTCGGTGGAACCCTCCACAGGGCCATGAACCCTGTGACCAGTGTCAGAAACGGCGCGGTGCTGATATGTGGACTTTGCCGCCAGGGGGCCTTCGGTGGAGCTCCCTATGGGGCCTCGAGGCGCGTGGATGGTGTGCCGAAACGGGCGCGGTAGGGGCATGCGGACGTTGCCGTGCGGGCTTCTAGGGCAACGACACGTGCGAGGGGGGTACCAAAACGAGTGGGGCAGTGTTATGCGGATGTTGCTGTGGGCTTTGTGCGGAGCTCCATAGAAGGTCACGAAACGTGTGAGGGGGGTGCTGACATGGGCGCGGCGATGGCATGCGGACTTCTCTCTGCGGATCTCCCGTGAGGCCGCGAAGCGTGCGAAGTGTGCGCCGAACCGTGCAGACTGTGCGTCACGAGAGAGGACGCCACCTGGTTGCCACACGGCGCCATGCTGAGGAAAAGGCTCTTCCTCCCACGGAAGGAGGAAGGGAGGAGAGGGGAGGAGGAAGGACGGGGGGGGAGGTGAGGAGAAGGCGGGGCGCGGCGCTGCTGACTCGAAACAAGGACCCAACACCAAAGGGTGGCTGGGACAGACGTTGAAACATCGATCCTCGATCCTCTCCGGAGGCCCCCAAGTGTCTCGGGGGCCCTCCAGAGGTCCACAAGGGGCCCCCGGAGGTCCCTGGATACTTCTGGGCCCCGAAAGGCGAACGCAAGAGCTCCCAGAAACTTCGACCCTCGATCTGTCCTCCTCCTCCTCCACTTCCTCCTCATCCTGCTGTTCCTCATTCTTGTTGTGTTGGACAAGCGCTGGCTTGCTTGAGCCGTCGCGTCCTGGTGGCAGTGATCCTCCTCCTCCTCCTCCTCCTCCTCCTCCTCCTCCTCCTCCTCCTCCCCCTCCTCACCGAATGCCAGCTCCGACAGTGGGTGGGCTTCGGGTTAAGACGAAGCCTCAAACTGCTCTCTATAGTCAGTCTGCGTTGTTTCACCGTCCATGTGACCATTAACCAATCCATTCCAGTCTTCCTCCTCCCCAGGCTGGATCGGATATTGCATCTCGGTGAGGAGGGGGGCGGCCCGGCAGCGGCTGCGCGCGACTTGATCCGCCTCCTGCCCGCTCCTCCTCCTCCTCTTCCTCCTTCTCCTCCTCCTCCTCCTCCTCCTCCTCCTCTGCCTCCTCTGCCTCCTCCTGCTATTTGTTTCAGCGTTGGCGGTTGCGTTATTCCTCCTCCTCCTCCTCTTTCTCCCCCCTCCTCTTCCTCCTCATCATCCATTCGTAAACCTCCTTAGCAATGGCATGACTGAACGATATCTTCCCATGCTCAATCCCGAGACCTCTCGGCCCACTCCCTGGGACCGGCTTCCGTCCTAGATCGATTATGTTCGTCGACGGTCCCGAGCTCGAAAACGGTCTTCGCAGAGGCAGAAAGTGACGAAGCGTTGGCAGCGTTGTGTGCAATCGGGCTGGAATGGTCTTATTTACTAAGCCGCCCTGGCGAGTACATCACGTAGTTCCGACAACATGGTCGGCATCACATAAAAAGGGACGTCCTGATACACGAGGAGGAGAAGCGAGTCAAGACGCAGGACGACCTGGATGAGCGGGGCACGCATCTTACCAGCATCGAGGAGCACGCGGAGGAGTGGGATGGCCACGACCACGACACAGCGGGTGAGGGAGGCTCGTGCGGGCCCGGCGCGAACGACTACGCGTGCATCAGCGGCCCCAGATCATCGTCCTCCTCCTCCTCTTCTTCCTCCTCCTCCTCCTCCTTTCTCCTCCTCCTCCTCCTCCTCCTCCTCCTCCTCCTCATTCACGGAACGAAGAAAACGCTGCAGGATCTCTTGGATCGGCACCGCCGCTGGCGCGATCCCCATGGGGCGGGGGTGAGGCCCATCGCCGATCCAAGAAAATCCGCGCGGGGCTCCAGCAGCTCTGGTTTCTGCAGATGTCTTTCCCTCTGCCTCCACCTCCTCCTCCTGCTCCTGGCCTCCTCCTCCTCCTCCTCCTCCTCCTCCCCCCCCTCCTCCATTCGTGGCCCTCCCTCCTCCTAGGCGGTGACCTGGCTGGTCCCAGCCCCCCCCCTGATCGGGAGAGGCCCCTGCCGGGCGGCGAGGGCGGCGCGCGCGCTGGCGCGGGCCGGTCCCGGCGCGGCGGGAGTCCGGTGAGCCGCCTCGGGGGGAGGGGGGGGGGCCGCGCCCCTGCCCCCCGGGGCACCGGCGCTCCTGCGCGCTGCCGCACCTCCCTGGAGGAGGCGGACTGAATGAATGAATGAATGAATGAGTGAACGAATGAACGAATGAGTGAATGAAGGAATGAGTGAGTGAGTGAGTGAGTGAGTGACCTAATGAATGAATACACCCCAGCTCAGGAGTGAAGACAGGCCAAGGCTGAGGAAGCGGCCTCTTCGCTCCAAGCGCTTTCTTGAGCAGCAGCCCAGGTCCAGATGCACGAGCGTTCTACGCAAAGAAAGAGGCTCCAAGAAACCGCACTGTGTCCAGCCGAGATTCTGGAGTTTCTTGAGCGAAATCTGAAATCCAAAATTACCCTGTGACGTACCCAACCCATTTGTATCAATGGAAACGAGGAGTTGGCCGAAACTTGCATGGACAATCAACTTGATGTGTAAGCTACTTGGGACACGCGCCTATGGCATGATGCGCAGGAGAACCATACAAGGACGAGGGGCGACAGCTACAGGCTCGAAGAGGACATGGGGAGTCAGGAACGCAGAGCAGGAGAAAAACGTGCGGGAAGCCGAACCATCAGCACGGCAGCAGCAGAGGGAAGGTGACTGCAGGAGGAGAACAAGGACGAAAGCGGCGTCTAATTTGAGTCTGCGGTGGGTACCCACTGTGCTGTGCCCCTCAGCAGCCCTCGAAAGTGGCGACAGTTTCACAGATCGCAACCCCCCAGGGATGGCGAGGTCTAATTTGAGCCTGCGGTGGGTACCCACTGTGCTGGGCCCCTCACCAGGCCTCGAAAGTGGCGACAGTTTCACAGATCGCAGCCCCCCAGGGATGGCGAGGTTAATTTGAGACTGTGTTGGGCCCCCCAGCAGGCCTCGAAAGTGGCGACAGTTTCACAAATCGCAGTCCCCCCAGGGATGGCGAGGTCTAGTTTGAATCTGCGTGTGGCGTCACTGTGCTGGGCCCCCCAGCAGGCCTCGAAAGTGGCGACGGTTTCACAGATCGCAGCCCCCCAGGGATGGCGAGGTCTAATTTGAGTCCGCGGTGAGTGCCCAGTGTGCTGGGCCCCCCAGCAGGCCTCGAAAGTGGCGACAGTTTCGCAGATCGCAGCCCCCCAGGGATGGCGAGGTCTAATTTGAATCCGCGGTGGGTGCCCACTGTGCTGGGCCCCCCACAGGCCTCGAAAGTGGCGACGGTTTCACAGATCGCAGCCCCCCAGGGATGGCGAGGTCTTATTTGAATCCGCGGTGGGTACCCACTGTGCTGGGCCCCCCAGCAGGCCGCGAAAGTGGCGACAGTTTCACAGATCGCAGCCCCCCAGGGATGGCGAGGTCAAAGGCAGGGGGGAAGAGAGGGACGGGAGGAGGTGGGAAGGAAGGAGACGCGCGAGCAGCGCTCTATTCAAAACGAGAACCCAACGCAGGAGGGTTGGGACAAGTTGACACGTTTTCCCTACCTAGGCTCTGCCTAGAAGGGTTCTTACTCGGTAAGCTTGAAGGGCCGGGCAGTGGGGCCCGCCCCGGGCGGTTCCCCCAGTATCCGCCCCGCGGTTCCCCCAGTGACGTTCCCTTAGCTTCGCGTTGTTTATCTCATCTTAGCTTAGCCTAGCTTAATTTAGCTTAGATTAGCTTAGCTTAGCTTAGTCTAGCCTAGCCTAGCTTAGCTTAGCTTAGCCTAGTCTAGCTTAGTTTAGCTTCGCTTAGCTTAGCCCAGCTGAGCTTCGCGTAGCATTAGCATAGCCTAGACTAGCATAACATCTCATATCACATCAAATCATAGCATGTCGCAGCATAGCATAGCGCAACATATCATAGCGCAGCATAGCGCAGCATATCATAGCATAGCATAGCTTAGCATAGCACAGCGCAGCATAGCATAGCATAGCGCAGCATATCATATCATATCATATCATATCATATCATAACGCAGCATATCATAGCATACCATAGCATAGCTCATCACATCATAGCATAGTATAGCGCAGCATAGCATATCATAGCATAGCCTAGCATAGCGCAGCATAGCATAGCGCAGCATAGCATATCATAGCATAGCATAGCGCAGCATAGTATAGCGCAGCACAGCATAACATAGCGCAGTCTAGCATACCCTGACATAGCATAGCATAGCATAGCATAGCATAGCATAGCGCAGCATAGCATAGCATACCGCAGCATATGTAGATGTAGGTGTAGATGTAGCTGTAAATGTACATGTAGGTGTAGATGTGTATGTAGATGTAGATGCATGTGTACATGTAGATGTAGCTGTATGTGTAGATGTGGATGTCGGCCTAGATGTAGATGTAGGTATTCAGATGTACTACTACTACTACTACTACTACTGCTACTACTACTACTACTGCTACTACTACTGCTACTACTACTACTACTACTACTGCTACTACTACTACTACGGCTACTACTACTACTACTACCACTACTACTACTACTACTACTAATACTACTACTACTACTACTACTACTACTACTACTACTACTACTACTACTACTACTACTACTACTACTACTACTACTACTACTACTACTACTACTACTACTACTACGGCTACTACTACTACTACTACTACTACTACTACTACTACTACTACTACTACTACTACTACTACTACTACTACTACTACTACTACCGCTACTGCTACAACTGCGACGATGAGGAGAAGGAGAAGGACGGCGTTTACCGTTACTACTAATATTGCTCTCCTCGGGGCTCCAACTCCTAGGTAGGGTCGCTCTGGGATAATCTTAAGGTTCCTGATGGGTGTCACTCGATGGGTGTCACTCGTGGAGACCTGCCCCGATCTCGGCCTGAGAGGAAGGCTCGCTGAGACTGGCCTGCTTTGCAGCTTCAACGGCTCCGAGCCTCGGGCAGCTTCACCAAACCCCCCATGCGTCAGATCTGGACTGGAGGAGGGGGAGGGCATGGAGGAGCTGCGGCACTGGCCAGCAGGGGAAGGGCGGGCAGGGGAAGAGGGACAGTCGACGATGAGGATGTCATACGGTAAATCCGCCGGCCCCCTTGTGGGGCCACCAGGCTGCGAGGAGCGGGATTCGCAGTTTCCTGTACCAGTTGTAGCTTGTAGTTTCCAGTGTTACAGTTCTGCTTATTGCTGGTTACTGTAACTAGTTGATTGGCCGCGCGAGGGGGGGGAGGCCCAAACCGGCTTTTTAGCGTCCCCTGGGCGCGTTGTCTGAATTGCTGGGGGGGCTCAAAATCGACACCCCTCACGCAGATCCGCGGGGTCAGGGTCCAGGGGATTTGCCACATTTCTGAAATTCGGTGCCACCCCTCACGCAGATCCGCGGGGTCAGGGTCCAAAAACACAAGGGATGTGCAACATTTCTGAAATTCGGTCCCACCCCTCACGCAGATCCGCGGGGTCAGGGTCCAAAAACACAAGGGATTTGCCACATTTCTGAAATTCGGTGCCACCCCTCACGCAGATCCGCGGGGTCAGGGTCCAAAAACACAAGGGATTTGCCACATTTCTGAAATTCGGTGCCACCCCTCACGCAGATCCGCGGGGTCAGGGTCCAAAAACACAAGGGATTTGCCACATTTCTGAAATTCGGTGCCACCCCTCACGCAGATCCGCGGGGTCAGGGTCCAAAAACACATGGGATTTGCCACATTTCTGAAATTCGGTGCCACCCCTCACGCAAATCCGCGGGGTCAGGGTTCAAAAACACATGGGATTTGCCACATTTCTGAAATTCGGCGCCACCCCTTACACAAATCCACGGAGTCAGGGTCCTAAAACACAAAGGATGTGCCACATTTCTGAGATTCGGTGCCACCCCTCACGCAGATCAGCGGGGTCAGGGTCTAAAAACACAAGGGATTTACCACATTTCTGAAATTCGGTCCCACCCCTCACGTAGATCCGCGGGGTCAGGATGCAAAAACACAAGGGATTTGCTACATTTCTGAAATTCGGTGCCACCCCTCACGCAGATCCGCGGGGTCAGGGTCCAAAAACACATGGGATTTGCAACATTTCTGAAATTCGGTGCCACCCCTCACGCAGATCCGTGGGGTCAGGATCCAAAAACACAAGGGATTTGCCACATTTCTGAAATTCGGTCCCACCCCTCACGTAGATCCGCGGGGTCAGGGTGCAAAAACACAAGGGATTTGCCACATTTCTAAAATTCGGTGCCACCCCTCACGCAGATCCGCGAGGTCAGGGTCGAAAAAACACAGGGGATTTGCCACATTTCTGAAATTCGGTGCCACCCCTCACGCAGATCCGCGGGGTCAGGGTCCAAAAACATAAGGGATTTGCAACATTTTGAAATTCGGTGCCACCCCTCACGCAGATCCGCGGGGTCAGGGTCGAAAAACACATGGGATTTGCAACATTTCTGAAATTCGGTGCCACCCCTCACGCAGATCCGCGGGGTCAGGGTCCAAAAACAGAGGGGATTTGCCACATTTCTGAAATTCGGTGTCACCCTTCACGCACATCCATCGCAAGGCGTGGTAACCCAAACTGCGAGAACTCCCTCGGCCCTTTAATCGCAAGGTGTGGTAACCAAGCCCGTAAATCATACACGTCTTATCAATCGCCAGGTGTGGTAACCAATCTTTTGATCAGTTGGTTTTGCTGATTGCGAATCGGCTTCGCATGAAGTTTCGATACTGCTTCACGACAGCGCCAAGGCCCCATGACTTAGCTCTTCCATGGCCCATTCTCCGAGAGAGGGGCCGGCGGCAGGGGGCGAAGCCCTTACGGATTACAGCAGGTCGCGCCACTCAGCATCGATAGCACGGCTGGCGCAAAGCACCCGCCCCCTGCGGGGGTGGCCGACGCCAACACTTGCTCGCAGGACTTCTGCAGAAGCGAACATCCAAGATGGAAAGAGCGAGCAGAAACAACAATGGAGAAGAGGCGCTCCGCTGCCCTTCAAGAGGGCTATCCCGGCATCGGACTGCGAGGCCAGCCACAGAGAGGATGGGACTCAGACCACCATCCTTCTACCAGAAAAAACTGCGGATCCGATCGTCTCTGCGTGCAAGCTGCTGCATTCGTGAGCGTGGAGGAGGAGGAGCAGGAGGAGGAGGAGGAGGAGCAGGAGGAGGAGGAGCAGGAGGAGGAGCAGGAGGAGGAGCAGGAGGAGGCAGAGTATCACGAGCGGTGAGCGGATCCGTATCCACGCCATCACGGTCTGGATGCTGGGGCGCGATGCCACGGATACGCGGTCGCACGGATACGTTCCGCGCGGTGCATCCGCGAAACAGAAATGTCGCCGTAGCTTCAGAATCGCAACCCAGAGGCCCGGCCCGCGAGGCCGCGGACACGGACACGTGTTCCGCCCGCGACATGGAGGGAGGGTGGGCGGAGGAGGGAGGAGGGGGAGGAAGGGGAGGAGGATGATTTTTTTTTGGGGGGGGGCACCTTGGACCTCACCTCCTCCCCTCTCAGTCCTTCGCACGAGCCTCCTTGGCCGCTACACGGGCACGGAGGGCATCCAGGCTTGAAAGGGGCGACGCACACGCTGGCGTCTGCTGGGGTCGGGACGCTACGACATGTGCTCGCGCCTCGACCCTCGTGAGCGGAGCCTCGAGCTCCGCGCAAGAAACAGGTGCATCGCGCTTCGGGTGCAGGCCTCTCCTGAGCCTTCGAAGCGCAGTAGTGCCTGCACTGCTCCTGTCGCTGTCTCTTAGGGGCCTGAGACAACGTGACAAGAGCATGTGCAGGCGGTGCTGGGCGTAGTAGCCACAGCTCATGCAGAAAAACAACGGACGTGGCTCGTCCCCAACTTGCGTGCTTGCCAGAACGTGGCCATGTTCTGGCGAGATGGTCAGTAGCTCTTCGACCATCTTAGGAAAGCCCGCGCAGCCCACTGTCGGTCTGTCTTCCAGGGCGCCTGCATAAAAAACTGAGGCAACTCGAACACCGATGGCCCCACAGCCAGGTGTCCCAAGTGTGCCAACCCTCGGCACGCTTAAACACTTTCTGCTTCTTGGCCCGTCGAGGAGGCCGAGTGTGGGTGACCCTGGGATAGAGCGGCAGAACCTCCGCCAAAATCCGCGCCACCGTTTCGACTCTCTCGATCGAGCTCTTCACATCGTCCCACTCGCTTTGGCTAGCTTGTGGGTGCAACAAAATCGCTTGCTTGGCTTCGTGATCCGCGCGCCTGTTGGCACGACCTATGGACCGCTGAGGCTCTTCTAGCATATCTATCGTGGCTGAGTCCCTGTTTGCTGGGGTCCAGACGGCTGGGGCATACGCATCTCGTTCCATGTGCTGCAGAGCTCCGCGCCCGAGTCCAGCATACTTGTGTTTATGACTCAACTGAGAAACCGTGCTGCCATTGTGAAGCTTGACGGCATTCATACAATCACTGTAGCAGGCTTGCCCATACTTGGGCACGAAAATCGGGAGCAAGGCCAGCTGAAGTTGCTCTGCTGCCTGGCTCGTCTGAGGAAGGCTCGGCCAAACGGGGCATTTTGCAATTGCTACCTGCTCTCCGTCCCTTCCCATGAACACCCATGAAAACGCTGCTCGTGATAGATCTCGAATCTGGTGCGGGAAACACGACCCGTCCCCCGCCACATTCAAATCTCAGTAGTGTCGAAGTCCGCCCAGTCCATTCGCTGACCCTCGGCGCTATACAAGTAAGGCTCGTGCTGGTCGGACAAAGGCGGCATATCTTTGACAGGGTTGACAAACTTTAGACCAGCGTAGAAGTCGTGCTCCCCTTCCCTCGCCCTCTGAATGAAGCTGTCCTTCACTCCCGTACTAGTCCTAGCCGCCGAAACCTCGGGGCTGGCACAACAGTAAATCCTATGGGCAACAGAATCTGGCTCCCCGCACAGCGGGCAGCAACCTGTCGAATGATACCCAGCCTGCCGCGCCCGATCCTCGGTCCAGAGTCCGTCGCAAAAGACCGTTTTGACCAAGTACTTGCCTTGGGCATTCAGTCCTATGCCTCGGAGTCTAGGCTGAGTGATACGTCGCAGCGGCTCGACGCAGACACGATCTCCTACAGGCCATCCGAGCTTCTGTCCCAGGACCCGCTCGTGGTGGCGTTGCACCCCTTCTTTCAAGAGCGCGGAGATCATGGCAGGGGAGTTGTAAAGCAGACTCAACTCGATTCCCCTTATCGTCGGCCCACATCAAAAACGAAGTCGATTTCCACCCGATGCGAAAAAGCGACAAAAACATCCGACTGATAGGACCCCTCGTCTTCCCCCATGTCCACCCCTCAATTCCTTCCTGGGAGATGGAGTCCCACATGCTGCGAAGCTGGGGCAGCGTGAAACTGGCCGTGCACGGCGCCGTCGTGGTGCTCCACACAGCGGCTGCCCAAGCGAGCGCAGGAGCGACCATGCTCCTCCACATCGGATCGCCTAACAGAGCTGTCTTGGCAGTGAGTGAAACCCCTCCATGACACGGCGCCTGATAGGAAAGCATCACCCCTCGCGCACGCTTAAGTTCAGCGTCAGACATTCCAGGCACCGTATCTCCAAAACTGACCGCAGGCTTAACGCCGGCGGTGTAAATCTTACCGATTCTGTATTTGTCCCTCGGCAGAGCTTTCCTATACCGCTGGAGCCTTCGGTGTCTGCGAATCATGCCCGCAACTCGGGCCTTGCGTTTACCAAGAGCTTGTTTGGTGCTGCGTTTCACCCCAGGAGCTAAATCGACCCCGAGCGAGACCACGTGGGCCCCGACCGTCCCTGCCAGCGTTCCGAACCTGCGTCCGACTCGCAGCGACAAGTCGGGGGTGGAGCCGAAGGTCATGAGTTTGTCGGGGGCCAAACCAACACCTAAATCTCCCTTAAAAACCCGTTCCAGATCCTCAGCTGCCTGGCCGAGAACTTGGACCACATGGTCCGCCGAACCGCACGCGCTGACGGTGTCGTCGTCGACGTACGAAGCAAGGTCAACAGCAGGATTCCCGGCAACGAAACCGTCGAACGGGACCATAGCATAAACTTTAACGTTGATATCATTCAGGCAGGATCCTGCTGGCAACCCACACTTCGCGCACATCGGAGAAAGGCTGTGGTCAGAGCCAAGCCGCAAAACCCGAGGCCCGCGCCAAAAATTGTAGGTCACCTTGACCACGATGGGGTTAAGGCCCGCCTGCAGGGAGCGATCCCTAAGCGTGGTGAGCCTGAACGATTCATAATACTTGGTGCCATCCCAAGAAAAACCTCCCGTGACACCCCCTTCGGCCACTTGGGCCTCCGCTTTGACCGCCTGCTTCCATATTTCAGCCTCCGCCGACTTCCCCGCCCCAAAAGCCCAATACTTGCGCGGGTGCGCGTCGCAGTACGGGAGCAGCTGCGGTCGCCTGAGCTTTTCCCACAGGCGAACAGGAGAGGCACAGAGCAGGACAGGACGCAAACCCCCTTTTGGTTTCTCGAGGAGGGGGAGAAGCATCCAATACAGGGCCTTCGGGTAGACCCCGATCTTTTCAACAGTTTGAAACAGGCAACTGAGCGCTTCGAGCCCCGCGCCGGGGAGCAAGCTGAAGTGCCGCACATGTATACCGTCAAGAGACTGCGCAGTGCGTGGTGAGAACCCTCTACTGGCAGCCCGAATGTCATCAGGCGTGAGCCTGTCGAAACAATTTCTGTCCAAAACCTCCAGAGGTTCTGGCATGGACGTCGCTTCCCAGAATTTACCTAACACGTTGGCTTCATTCGCGAGCAGCTTACGCGGGTCGGCCGAAAAAATCCCAGGAACCGTTT